CTAATCATCCTAACGTTGGAAATAGCAGTACGTTGCGAAGCGGCGCTGTAGCGCGACGCTGTAGCGCGACGCTGTAGCGCTACAAGTCTGAACGCTGCCTAACTCGTGTAACCCTGTCGGCTGGAGCATCGGACTTCATGTAGACCCCGTCATCGTAGACATTCATGACTATTTTCGGTTCTGAATTGCCTGTTGTCGCCATCTACTACCTGGAACCATCGTCATTTGCGGGCGCGACGTCGCACGCGACGCTCACCAGCGCGGATAATTACGATTCTCTTGTCACACACCGCAAATGGCCACTTTGGTAGCAAGTATTTACAGGTCTTCACAAGTTGGCCTTCACAAGTTTCCGTGAGTATTATTTGGTGCCCCTACCAAGCTGTACGCATATATTTTGATTGATTATTCTCTGAGAATAATTACGAGCTTCAGCTTTTTTACTGAACATCTCTATATATGAACCAGGAATTCTCTGTTTGTTTGAATGATCGTCTGCCCAAGAAATGGAGAGTGCATGAAAAACCGCTCTAGATAGCGGGTCAGATTTGATATTGATGGAGCATTGGTCAAAATGCACGGATCACACTCGAGTTAGGCTAGGCTCCGCCCACAATGGGTGGGACGCGCACATGAGAAAGCGGTGCCAACGACGAAAATTCTTAAAACGATCCGAGTGGTTCAGTAAAATAATAATAATCATGAACCATGGACCATACAGAAAACTCTCCGATTCACTGCCTTGCTGCGGGCCTACTCGAGCCGTAACAGTACCAAGTCTCAAACACTTACCCTACTCCAGTCATAACCAATCGCGTAGGCCATCACTTGTCCTGAAGAATGTATTGCTGCACATGTTAACGGCAAAGGAGCTGCATCTGAGGTTTTCAACTTTGTACGTGCATCTTTATCCCACATCGAATAACGTCCATCAGATCCGATTGTTACTAACGTGTTGTGTTGAGGATGAAATACGATATCGTTCACCTGAAACTGTGTATGTTCATCTTCGTGGGACCAAATGAATAATGGGGAAAATACGAACAACATATCAAATTTCTCCAGCTGCGACAATTTTGGTCATCCACAACGACAGAATTGCGAAAAGCAAGCCGTCGGCAATAGTGCAACAGCCACCATTAGCGCTTGACAACGCTTTAAACAATGACAAGCGACGCTTAAGGATAGCACGCGAATTGCGAACAGTCCTACATCACCCACACATCTGCAAAATGAAAGGAAACACCGCCACAGGAGGGACCGACAGGTCTTTCACAAAAAGAATGACGCGACCAAAGGCCCATAACAGCGCGTGAAGTTGTAGAAACAAAAAAAACTTATATTATCAGTCCCAAAAACTCACAGAAACAATGGTTTCAGTTTCATCTGAATCACTTCACCACACTCCCACTGATTAAGCTAGGAAATGCAGGGATAAGTCGCCTAAGAGGGGACATGTAAAGGATGGAGCTATCTTAAAAGGACTCTTTTCAGTTCGCTAGTTCATTGTTACCAGTTAGTGTTAATGTACACGTCTCATCCCGGTGAGATTCGCATAGGAGGTACCGCCAGTGATCACCTGAGAACACAGAATGCCCCACTAAGCCCAACTGCTCCTGTGCTAAATTGGGGCTACCAAAATGCGGAATCACCTTTTTTTCACAGAGAAAATGGCTCTCCCACTTCAGAGCTCCTTCTGTTGTATGCCTAGGCAAAAATCCTCACTTCGATCTTATGGATACTTTCACACGAGAACTTCGTTTACTTCCTCCTCCAATGGATACTTTCACACAAGAACTTCGTTTACTTCCTCCTCCATCTTCCCACCGCTTCCTACCCGAATCGCTGCCGTAGAGTGCGGGCAATCACTACTGGCACAAGGTGTCCGTTTAATTCCCTTTCCTACAGAATTTCTCCTAAATACATTTGAAGAACTGCTGCATGCAAATGCAATGGATTGATTGACTCAAAGCCTTCTGTAATATGAAGATTGGTGACAACGTCCTCATCGTTCTCTTGGGGAAAAATTCACGCAAGAATGGTGCACAATTTCCAAGCCAACCGACAGCCCCATTTCCTGCCCATTAATTGTTACATCTCTGTCTACATTTGCCCCAAAATGGAGCTGAACTGGGAACAGAACCGTGAGCCTGAAGTTGTTTCCAGTTTTAGGCACAACAAGCCTAGGGAGATTAATCAAGGCGTTGGTGTTTAAGGAATAGACCGAAGGGTCACTTGTCCATAAGAGTTTTTGACAAAAATTCAGGCAACGACGGAAACTGACTAAAGTGCGACATTGACTTTAATTATACCCTTTGTTGAGATCAGGTTAGGCAAGAATGAAAGGATTTTCGGCGTTGTCCGTTTTGGGAGGAGCATTTTGCACTTTCGCTAGTTCCTTTTACCGGTTCATGTAAACGAACAAGTCTTCTAAAACTGTAAGTTCTTATGAAACTGCAAGATGCCACAAGTCAGCCACTTGGTTGCCAGAATGTTCAAGCCTTCACAAGGTGACAAGTACAAGCCTCGGGGAGTACCATTTGGTGCCCCCACCGAAGACGCAAGTGCGACAGATTTTGCATGGTTTACCATTGAAGCACTATGAAAAAATAATCTATGCGCAACCTATTCAACAGTTACATAACGCACTTACACTTCCTACCACCCGTCACCCTTTGGGAGGAATGGCTAATTGACGTTTCAAAAAGAAGCTAGCATTGAGAGCAAAAGAATTGTGAACTCAAAACAAGATGACGAAGTTCTTAAATACGATTTCTAAAGTGCGCAACTCTTGAAAGGAGTGGAACTGCAAGAACAACTTTAGGCTTTAATAAGAGTAGAGAGGCAGCCCAATATACTGTCCACAGTAGTTCTTCATTCCTTCTTCAGTATTCCTCGAAACACTCAACGAAAATAAACGTCATTCTTGCAATCTGTTCATGCCTACATCGAGTATGGGAAACGGGCAAGAGAATCGCAATTTGCCGCTTCGCCGCGCGCGGCGATGTGCGCGGCGTTTCCTTGACTCGTGTTAACTTGTCGGTGGCACCGGACTTCATGTAGACCCCGTCATCGTAGCCATTCATGACTATTTCCGGTTCTGAACTGGCTGTTGCCATCTACCACCTGGAACAATCGTCATTTGTGGGCGCGACGTCGCACGCGACGCTCACCAGCGCGAAGAATTACGATTCTCTTGTCACATACCCATCATGTATAGACTTGTCCAAGAGCCTCAGGTCCTGAACAACGTTCCTAGTTAGATAGCTTTGGCAAGTCCTCAGCTTGCATGACTGTGACCAGGGTTCATTTTTTCGACGACCCTGCTGCCCTGTATTAACATTTTCCTGCGCCCTCACAGGGTATGTAATTGTTTCCCCCTTACATATCTTCACCTCTCAAGAACTCATATTATTTTCTTACAAGCCGATTCCACGCCTCGGAAATCCAGAAGTCGTTTTTCTTTTACTACGTCAACTTCGCAACCACGAAGGGCAATCCTGCTAAGTGCACGTGACAGCAGTTCACATAGTTGAAAGAAAGGGAACCGAAAGAGTGTGGGATAGAAATCCAATCACTGCTAAAGGCATGAAGCAAGATAATTTGCTACTTGGTCTAGAATGATAGCAGGAGCGCTATATAGCCGGAAAATGACGAAAAAGCAAAATGAAACCGTCAAAAACCTGCAACAAAAGCCTCTGCTCTACACGCCTGAGGATTTTGAACGAGATTTCTTTGGCATCGAGCCAATAACCGTTACGGTAGATATGGCTGCAGGTACGTACTCATATAATCATGCAGCACCACAGCCGCTTCATATCAATCCCTTCGCTTCACGCTGTACTTCGCAAATGAAAGGGCGAGCAGAAGCCGTCGGAATTTGAGGGTGAGCGTCCGCTCGCTTTGTAGCAGCTTGATAGGGCGCTATAAGGGTACCTTCCCTGAGAAAGGCACGACGCTGCACCTGCTCAGGGACGCCGAATTCTCAAGCGTAACAACCCTCATAGTCTTGGGAATTTATCATGCCACTTGTCTTCAGCTTACTTGAGAACTGGCAACTTAAGATACAGTCCACGATAGACGAATGGGCGGAGATTCATAACTATATTGCCTTCCTCATCGCCGCTTCTTTTCTTCTGATATGTCGAAGATACAGTCATAATATTTATGTGTTTCTTCGATCCGATGTTTTTTTAGACTTTGAACCTAAGAAATCAACCGCTAAGCGAATTAGACGTCAAAAGGCTCCTTATCCCCATCTGCATGGTAAGTTCAAAAGCTATATTTTACGTCATCACAAGGTACACCACCTTAACAGCCGTCAACACCAAACAGACCCTCAAACTTACATTCAAATCAGAGGGTGGTGGGGGCTTTTGCAGCAAAGAAGAAGACAGGATATCCCTCATAACTTTAGCTCGGCCTGATTCGGTCTGGTGGGGTATTTTCTCCCTTAATCACTGGCCGGCACACGTCTCTGGAAAGATAGCGCCACTCAAATCGGGGAGAATGGGGCAAGAGAACTCCGGTAAATTTGTCGCTGCCCGCGCGCACGCGGCGATAGACGGCGGCATTTCTCAACTCGCGTGTAACTGCAGCCTGTCGATTGGAGCCAAGCACCTTCTTGAAGACCCCGTCCACCATATCACATTCAGACCAGTCTCGGTTCTGATTGGCCTGTTGACCCGGCCATCCATTGACCTGGAAACCATCGTCATCAAGGCGCGACGTCGCCATTCCGGAACGGCCACAACTAGCGGCGGCGACATTACGATCCTCTTGTCACATACGCGCCACTAAAATCTCTGTGGGCGGCAAACAAAAACTGTATCTTTCGTCAACACTTGCAGACAAGAATCTACCACGTCCCTAGCAGGGTGAGAACGTGTAAGCAACAGGATAGCAGGTAAACCAATTAAAAAGCAAGAACCCGTCCCCAACCAATTCCTAGCGGCTTTCCCAGCTCTTGCTTCAACACTCGCTACCATCTGGACGTCCTGGTTTACGCACGACACGTGAACTTCAGGGTATGCAAAGAGTTACACGACCGTAGCAAATTTTAAAGCTGGTGCTGGAGACTGTCACTAAAACGATCGAGAGCCGAGCAAGGTCTATGCGCTACACGCGCCAGGTACATTTCGATACTGATAACATATCTTTAGCAGAACTAGTAAAACTGGGTCTGGCGCAATATCGCACTGGATAACCCAGCCATAGAAACTTGGAAATTTTACGCATCAAAGACCGCATTCCAGTGGCCCTGCTCTATAGGTTGACGAGAAGTCAAAGGTGGGCAAAAGGGCCGCTAACCACGCGCGTGATCTGAGCGGGGAATCCCAGGCCAGCTCCGTCCGAAGCTAACCAAACCTTCTACCCTTCGAAGACCGTAACCAGATTCGTACTGCCAGGTTTGTCTGGGAGAGTAGCGACAGTGATTTGCACATCGGTTGGCCCACGCTACAGGCCCTATCGCATTTAGAAGGCACTACGATTCTGAACGGGAGTAGAATTGGGCATTATTATGGCTCTTTTGAAGAACGTCTGGCGCTAACTGCAAGACGATATATCATCTGCGAAAAAAATTTTATGTCGTGATCGCCAAAGCATAACATTAGTACAGTGCAGTTCAGCGACGGGGGGGGGGGGGCATTTTGCACTTTTGCTACTTTCCATCGACGTGTCGAGCCATCTAGAGAGCTATTTCATGAGCTTACAAGAGTTGACAGGTTTTTTTGGTGGCTCGACGAGCTTGCTCCAGCTTCACAAGAGTTCACAGGTTTCACCAGAGTGAGACTTGTAAACCGGAACTAGTGAAGCAGCGAAAGTGCAAAATGCCCCCCCCGTCGTTGAACAGCGCCGGTTACTACGGACCATACGTTGTAGGAGGGCTCATGAAAATGCCATACGTTTCTTTGTCAGTTCTGAGAATTCGCATCCAAAGCAGTTTTTTATTGCGAAACCGCCATGAATTGCATTGTTCCTCGCTTGACTGGCTGGGTGGGCTTGGATGCAAGTTCTGATGAGCGCATTGAGTCGCATGAATAGATTGGGGGAAACGACGCTCGGCAAAGTAAAAAGAGATGAGGAGGCAACGGGCAGCAATCCAAAAGCGAGCTTAAATTCAATGCAGCAGTGATGTTTAAGCCCTCTTCACCCCACCGTACTAGTTTATCCCTCCGAACAACGCATTACGTAGTAACTTAGATGGAAAAGAGATGAAGGAATGGTTAGGTTCACTGAAGGGCATGATCGAAATGGAAACTAAACCGTTGCGAAAACCCCGTCCACTAGAGCAACCAAAACATCTTTCTCACAACGCTGTGGTGAGGAGAGCGCTCTAAAATTAAACTTAAAGACATAAGCAATGATAATTTGGTACTTGCTCAAAAATAGTAGCAGGGGTGCTATACAGTGGGGATGCTATATAAAGGGGGGAAATGACCTAAAAGCGAAGTTAAAGATTCAAAAATCTGCG